TTTTTAAAGCTTTCTGGGATATTGTGGGCAATTCGGTGGTAGAAGCAGTAATTTCCTTCTTTACCTCGACCCGGATGCTGCGGAGCTTTAATCATACCTGGCTCACTTTGATCCCTAAAGTGGAGTCGATGGAAACAATTCGACAACTGCGTCCGATTAGCCTCTGTCAGTTGGTTTACAAGGTGATCACCAAAATCATGGCTACGCGATTGGCTAGTTTACTCCCTGAGATCGTGTCGGAGGGTCAAAATGGGTTTATCAAAGACCGGCAGATTATTGATAACATCCTTATTGGACATGAAATAATGCATTATCTGAAAATAAAAAAGCAAGGGAAGAAGGGGTACATGGCTCTGAAGGTTGACATGGAAAAGGCCTATGATAGAGTCGAATGGCCCTTCCTGCTTGCAGTTTTGGATAAGATGGGTTTTAATTCAGTCTGGCAAGGATGGATACATGAGTGTCTTCGATCCTCCTCCTTCTCGGTTCTAATGAATGGTACTCCTTCGGGATATTTCACTGCCTCTAGGGGCCTTCGTCAGGGGGACCCGCTTTCTCCTCTCTTGTTTGTTCTTTGCACGGAGGGGTTTGCAGCCCTCCTCCGAAAGGCGATCGCAGAGAAAAAATTGGAGGGAGTGAAAGTAGCTCCTCGTGCTCCAAGGGTCTCGCATCTGTTCTTTGCAGATGATTCTTATTTGTTTTTACGAGGTTCTTTGCGGGAGTGCGAGAATTTAATTGAGATACTGAATGAATATGAGGAGCTGAGTGGTCAGCGTGTTAATCTGGAGAAGTCGGCGGTGTGCTTTAGCAAGAATATTTCCACGCCAGACCAGGAGTTTTTGGCCACGATTCTAGGGGTTGGGGCGGTGGGGGTCCATGATAAATACTTGGGGCTTCCAACGCTGGTTGCTCGATCCAAAACGGCTACATTTAGATATTTGGAGGCCAAACTACTAGAAAGGCTTCAGGGGTGGAAACAAAGGACTTTGTCGTGGGCTGCTAAGGAAACTTTGATTAAATCCATAGCGTTGGCTCTGCCCCTTTATGTGATGTCCTGTTTTCGTCTCCCCCTGGCTCTTTGTCGGCTTTTGGATAAGCATGTGGCCCGTTTTTGGTGGGGTGCGGAGGATGGTAGTCCCAAGATCATATGGGTATCCTGGCGTAACATGTGCAGGAGTAAGCATGATGGGGGGATGGGATTTCGCCAGTTCGAGCATTTCAACCAAGCCCTCTTGGTTAAGATTGGCTGGCGTATTCTCAATGAACCTCATTCACTTATTGCCCAAACCTATAAAGACAAGTACTTCCCTCATGGGTCTTTCTTGACAGCGACTGCGGTCTCGTCCCTCCTAGGGGTGGCAAGGTATCCTTCATGGGCGTCAGTTATTGGAGAGGGGGTTGAGATGGCAGGTTGGTAATGGCCAATCGGTCTCTCTCCTTCATTCTAACTGGATACCTAGGTACCAACTAGATCCCCCATGCTATACTCCGTAGATTTTGCCTGTGGGGGGTGATCCTTCGGTGGTGGAGGTTATTGCTGAGGGGGGAGGGAGATGGTCTGATGAGAAGCTCTGTCAATGGTTTGACCCACCCACTTGTAAGGCTATTAAAGAGATCCCCCTACCGCGTTGGGATGTGCCTGATAAGCTTATCTGGCATTTTACGGCCGACGGGGTCTTCTCGGTTAAGTCAGCTTATCATTTGGCTGTGGAGCTGGACAGGAGGAGGGGTGGATGGCGATCCTCGGTGAGCTGGATGGACAGGGCGAGTTGGATTAAAGTTTGGGAGGCAAAGATACCCCCGAAGCTGAAGGTTTTTGTGTGGCAAATTATAAATCGAGCCCTGCCGACCATAGAGGCGCTTATTGAAAAAAAGGTCCAGGTACTACCTCGGTGTCCAGTTTGTTGGGGTGGCCCAGAGACAATGGAGCATTTGTTCCTTTATTGTCCGGTGGTGCGAGCCCTCTGGGACTATTCTGGGCTGGATTACTTGGGGGAGGGTCTGCCTCGGCACACTTTTCCTTTGTTTCTCAAGCGTCTGTTGGGGTTGATCCATCAACCGCCTATGGTTATGGCTGTTGTTGCCGTCCTTTGGAGAATCTGGAGGTCTCGGAATTGGGTAGTCTTTGAAGGCAAGCAATTTGGGATCCCAGCGCTAATGCGCCAGTTCCATCAACAGTATGAGGAATGGGTAGGTCTGCCTGCGGACCAGGTGCCTCGAGTTCAAGCGCTGATAATGCAAGCTTCCGCTCCAGTGGGTGGTTCCCATTTGGTTTGCATGTGGGACGGGGCTACTAAGGGTGGGTCTCATTCGGCTGGGGGGATGGTGCTTTTTGACCAAGCACGGACGATCCTTCTAGCTAGAGGGGTCCAGTTTCCTCAAATGGCTGATCCTGTAGTGGTGGAATTGCTGGTGCTTAGAGAAGCAATTATTTGGTGTGTAGAGCAAGGTTTGTCGGAGGTCCGATTTGAGGGCGATGCAAAGGTGATCATTGATAAAATTCATCAAGCCGACACAAGAGATAGCCGGTTGGGTGCTGTTCTGGAAGAGATTGCTCATTATTTTCGTACTCAACCGGGGTTTAGTGTGCGTTTTGTAGGTCGGAAGAACAATAGGGTAGCTCATTTGGTAGCTAGGAAAGCCCTCTCTTTGTATCCGACTATGAGTCGCTTTTTCGATTTCCAGACCTGGCTGGTTTCCAGGGTGTAACTGTCTATTTTTCGATCAATACATGATATCTTTTGTCAAAAAAAAAAAAAAAAAGATAATCCTACTCCTTACCAAAATGCCCCCATTGATTGCTACTACGTCGAGTGAAATTATTTTGCAACGCTTTCTTATTCTGGATTGCAATTCATCGATCGATGGAAAATGGAAACAACAAACCATTTGTCAAAACTAAAACCATAATCATTAAGAGTCTTATCGGTTTTCATTTTTTATTGAACAAAATCGAGAAGACCAATAGGTTGTTTATAATCCATAGTCTAAAAGGTCAAAATAGTCTTTTAGTCCACAAAATTTGGCTTTAACCATGAGTTAAACCCAAGGCTAAAAGGTCAAAGAGGAGTTTTAAGGAGGGTTGTAAGTCTAGCCCTAGATGCCTATTGACCCGACCTGTTTGGACAGACTGGGTCGTGCTGAATTAGTTTGTCTACCAAGTTAGTTTAGGGTCGAGTCATCTTTTGGCCTTATAAGGCTCGGGTATGGTCGGTTCATTTTCTGGCCCTATGACTCATAACAATAACTAGTGATATGAAATTTCTTATACAACACATTGGGCATGTTTGTAAAGTTTTAAAGTTCAGCTACTACAATGCAAGTTAAAAAAAATAAAGATACTAAAACGTAATTTTACTATCAGATTTTTTCACTTTTTTGCAAAAAATAAAGTTTAGATACTAAATTATAAGAAAATAAGGTCGGGTACCAAAGTGTAATTTTTAGAAAACAATGTGTTTATTGATGTGGATCGGCCCACTGGCTTGGCCCCAGCAATTGAAGCCCTACCAATTAGGGTTTAGGGTTGTTATTGAGCCGAACTGTTTAGAAGCGTCTCGATGTTCGAATCGATATAAGCTCGTACGATTGAGAAAACTTGACTCGTGTTGAATGAAGCCTCGTTCAACTCGCGAGGCTCGTAAGCCAGCTCGACTAAGTGGCTTGTTTAGCTCACTCATGAACTCTCTTGTTTTGGGCTCATGAGATGTCTCAACATTGTGATTAATGGGCCAATGTGACTATCCGCTTATGAGAAAATCGTTCTATATCTTATTAGTTGCCTTGTTGACTATTCATGGGTTTATTAAATGGTATATCTCACATGTTTACATTTTTAGTATGTGAGCAAATATGTATCATATATGACATGGTCGGTTAATCACGTGTATCATATATGAGTTTAATTTATAATTTATCATTAGAGTTGAGCTCGAGTCGAAATCATGATCTTAATGATGAGTCAAGTAGATTTTGATAACTGAGTCAGCTCGAGGTCGACTCGACTAAGCTCGTTTACATATGAGCCAAACCCAAACTCTACTTGTTTATTAATGAGCCAAACCCAAATAAAGCAAAATTCGACTCAACTCGACTTATTAACAGCCCTACTACACGTACATGCCAGACAATGCTAAAGGGAAATAGGGTCACACCAAGTTGGATGCTTGACCCATTAGGGTTGGGTATTTTAGGGTTGTGGTAGGGCACGAGTTGGATTCGAACCAGTTTCACCCCTAGTTTTAAGGGGATAAAATGAGTTTGATTTGAGTGAGGGCAAAAAAAAAAAGGTAAACAGGTGGGACCCGCCACTTTAAAAAAGCCGACCCATGCGAACAAAAGAGAGAAACGTGCCTTGCGAGTGATGGGTTGCACGTAGCAACCACATTGGGTAGTCCGCAGGCGTGCAACCTATCACCTCCTTTTTTAATTAATTAAATTAAAATTGTGTGCTTTATCTTTTTTTTTTTGTCTTTTTTCACCCAACAAAGTTCATTCTGGTGTAAATTTCGTCCATTCGAATTCTATTTGAAGACAAAAGATTATATTCAACAAACAAGTCTCAATTAAATGAAAAAGTATTTGAAAAAATTGATTGAATTGATTTCAACTAAAACCAAAAATATCTCATAGTTTGTTCAAATTTTTTCGGAATGTTCGTATTGAGAGATTATGAATTAATTTAAAAAATTAGATTACAAAATATAAGTTTAAGTATTCATAGATTAGATTTATTGAATACCAAACAGAAAATTATAGTATCGGATTGCAACAGTTTCTGTTTTCTATTAACTCCTTATTTTTCGACCCCTCATGATTAACTTTAACAGATTTTATTTTTGTAAATTTGTCTTGCTTGATTTTTCAGGGTTAACCAAATCAAACTAAGTGTCATAAATATATTAGAGTATTGATTTCTCCCTACATTTTCTTAAGCTATTTATAATCCTACAAATAAAATGATGAATTACACATTGGTTTCATTCTGAATTTTCGATTTTATTTTAGTACCCGAACTTCTCCTTTGGCCCTCTCCCTAGTCCCTCCTCATCTATCTCGTTTTCTTCAACAAACGCGCAGGATTTATTTGCTGTTTTCGCCTTTTCCGTTGGGGTTATTTTCTCCTTTTTCTGAATGTGAAGCCAAAACAAACGCAAGAAGGAAACAAAGCCCGTCTCCTTTTGGAGCTTGTGAGTTATTATCCAGACTCCAGAGAGAGGGGAAGTGTGAGACAACTAAAACCCTTCTTCTCCAAGTCCTCCTCACTCCGATTTTTTATAGGCATTGGACTGGCAGCTGCATCCGCACTGTTTCTACCGCTGCTGCTCTGCAACTCTCACAGGTTCCTTCTCTCATTTGAGTTGTTCCGTCTTCCCTTTCTCCCGCTTGAACAACTTGTCAACTGAATTGTCCATCTAGCTATTGCTGCATTTCTCGATTCCTCTGTAGTCTCCTCACCTAATCGGCGGCATTTCTGGTTCCTGGCTCTCTTGGTAATTTGGGGAATTGGGTCGTGTATTTTTGCTGAAAGTTATTCTTTTTCTGGTCCTAAGCAGGTCTAGCAAGTGAATTGCTCCGCGTATAAAGATAGTGAACCTTACTTTGATATTGTATTGAAGCTGTACCCGTTGGTCGACTGCAAGATGGCTTGTGTCTCGCCATATTGCTCGCCTACTGATACTAGAACTCCGGCGGGAATGTTGACGGTTCTCGGAGGGAGAGTGTCCAAGGAGAATCACTTGCTCGCGGGTAGAGCCAGCAATAGCTCGGTTAAGCTCGCAGACGATAAAAATAGGTTTATGGGTGCTGGCCAGAAGTCGACTTTCCCTATCGTCAGAGGTTCAACTAACTCTCACAGTGTCAGTCCTTACCACAGCAAAGACCCTTTTCTGGATCTGCATCCGGAGGTGTCGTTGCTCAGAGGCGAAGGAAATAATGTGGTTTCTACCCCAAGGAAGGATTCTCCTTGTGGCAATCTCACCGATAGCTTAGTAGATCAGCCTACCTCAACAAATTCCAGTGAAGCTAAGATCAAAGTTATTGGTGTTGGAGGCGGTGGGTCGAATGCAGTCAATCGGATGATTGAGAGCTCAATGAAGGGCGTGGAGTTTTGGATTGTCAATACAGATATTCAGGCAATGAGGATGTCTCCTGTATATCCAGAGAATCGTTTGCAAATCGGTCTTGAATTAACTAGAGGTCTTGGAGCTGGTGGTAACCCAGAGATTGGAACTAATGCTGCTAAAGAGAGCCAAGAGACAATAGAAGAAGCACTGAATGGAGCAGACATGGTTTTTGTCACAGTAAGTCCAATATCCAGAACTGCGTTATTGTTTTCGTCAAAACCAATTGTCTCTGGTGGTAATTTAGGTTCGAAGGTCATTTATTTTTGTAGGATGTCAATTGTTTCTTCAGCGTCATTCACAAGTAATGCAGCATTTGGGAAGTGTGTATATAACTGGAGTTGTACATCATATAGTAGGTGAAAACCGAAGAGTAGCAAGTTTGGTTTTTCTTTGTTATTGCTTTCTTCATTGGTGCATTTTGGCTTCTTTCTACATGCAGGCCGGAATGGGGGGAGGAACTGGTACTGGTGGGGCTCCTGTAATTGCAGGTATTGCAAAAGCAATGGGGATCCTGACAGTTGGTATAGTGACAACTCCCTTTTCTTTTGAGGGACGAAGGAGAGCTCTTCAGGCTCAGGAAGGAATTGCAGCATTAAGAGATAATGTTGATACACTGATTGTCATTCCAAATGACAAGTTATTGACTGCTGTTTCCCAATCTACTCCAGTAACAGAAGCATTTAATCTTGCTGATGACATTCTGAGGCAGGGAGTTCGTGGTATCTCTGATATAATTACGGTATGTGATTTGTTTCAAAGGCTGGATATATCGTTGTTACTATTTTGGTGGATCTATCGTCTCTAAGTGCTCCAAAAATCCTACACATTGCTTGCCTTTAATGGCTGTGTAAACAACAAAACCCTCTTTGCAAATTTTTGCATAGCATTGCACTGATATTGTGTAGTTTGTGTCGTTTGGATGAATGTGATCTTCCATAGGATGGTAGGGGGAGTTTCTGCTTTTGACTTATCCGGGCATATGATGCAAAACTTGATAGCTTTATGGGTCTAACTGCCGAATTGGGATAGAAACATATCTGTAAGGAATGGTAGTATGAAAGCCTTGAAGTCTTTTAACTGGAAGGATGTTATCAGTTGGATAAAGTTTTGTTTTTGGTTCCTCTGGACCTTCATATTTGGATTTCACCAACTGTCATTCTTATGCTCGACTCGCAGATTCCAGGACTTGTCAACGTGGATTTTGCTGATGTCCGGGCAATAATGTCAAATGCTGGTTCTTCACTGATGGGGATAGGAACAGCGACAGGTAATTAATTACTCTAAACCTCATCTTGGGTTCTTACTGCTACCTGAGGCTGCAAATACACCAACTGGGTTATCTAGAAAACCCAGGAGGTAAACAATCCTTCCTGTATTCATTTCCCAACAAATGAAATTTATCAACTATCAAACTTCCATCATTATGCGCTCAGTTAATGTCTAAAATTGGCGTTGCTTGTTTCAGACACCATCAATTCAAGAGCACAAATAATTAATCTCTACTGTTTTCTTGTTCTCCCTCTATCTGTCTATAGGTCAAACAAGGGCAAGGGATGCTGCCTTAAACGCAATTCAATCGCCATTACTTGATCTTGGCATAGAGCGTGCAACTGGAATTGTGTGGAACATTACTGGTGGAAATGATTTAACTTTGTTTGAGGTATGCCTTTGAGCATTAGTTTCAGACATGAACTCCATATGCTTCCTTCTTAATTTAGGATCAAGATATAAAGCCCTATATCACTTTTCCGGGCTGCTATAAATAAATTTCAAGTGAAAAACATTGCAGACCTGAAGCATCTATCTTTGTTGGCTACACAGAATGTACCTTTTAGAACCAGTTAGCAAATTCGTGCAACATCTTTATATGCCATAAACATACTATTAAATGGCTAGCAATCTCTTATGTGCCTGGCTTCTACCAATTGTTAGGATTAGTATTACGATTTTCTGTATACTCAGGCTGTAGCCTAAATCAACTATTTTCCACTTTGCATCTGTAATTCTGTATCCAGAACATGCATGATTGGTTTTACCTCGTCTTATTCCCTTCGATATTTTCAGGTGAATGCTGCGGCAGAGGTTATATATGATCTTGTAGATCCAACTGCAAATTTGATATTTGGAGCTGTCATAGATCCATCATTTACCGGTCAAGTATGTGATTGGCTTGCCTGCAATTTTTAGCCAACTTGAATGTGTGCTTTCCACTCCACCATAGCTATTTTCGCAGCTGTGCTCATTGTGTCTTCTGAATTAGAGTTGAGAATGACTTGGGCTAACTGTTCATCGCCCCATGCCTCATCCAGGTCAGCATAACTCTTATTGCAACTGGGTTCAAGCGCCAAGAAGAAACTGAAAGCAGGCCCCTCCAGGTCCTCTCCCCCCCTCTTCCACTACTCCCTCCTTCCTTTCTTCCCTCTCTAGGGTAGTACGCTAATTAGGGATGGCAATTTACCCACCCATGGGTAATTTTGCCCAAACCCAAGTAGACCCATTTATTATGGGTAGGGTTTGGGTGATGTGTGTATGGGTTTGGGTTAGATATGGATATTATCTAAATGGGTATGGGTTGGATATGGATATCCATTTACTTGAGAGTGTTTTAACTACACATGCAAAAATTGGACCTATTTGTAAAAATTGAAAAGTTTAGGTACCAAAATGTAAGACCAAAAAATTTTAGGTACCAAAACGTAATTTTCCATCGATATTTTGAGGACTTATATGCAAAAAAAATTAAATTTAGGTACTAAATATGCATATCTATTAAGTTTAGGTACCAAACTGTAATTTGTATTTGGGCATGGGTACAAACCCAAATCCAACCCAAAGTAAATGGGTATGGGTACAAACCCATCAAACTTTATCCATATCCATATATTTGGATTTCATACCCAACCCAATTGGGTTGGATAGTAAAATACCCATGGGTATGGGCAAAATTGCCATCCCTAACGCTAATACTCAACCAAAATGCAGGCAAATAAGGTAGGGTCAGGAGGAGATGGCAAGGATGGAATGAACAGACGACCATTCTCATTTACCGAAGGTGGTTCGGTAGAGATCCCTGAGTTTCTGAGGAAGAAGGGGCGTTCTCGTTTCCCAAGAGCATAAATCAATCCTTTTGCAGGCTCTCCCTCTTCATTTGCAAGCAGATGTCGGTTTCCACAATTCAACAGAGAAAACATCCCCTTCCCATGGTCCATGTAGTATTGTGCTGTACGGTATCTCTATCAGAGTTCCTCAAATCAACAGCGACATCTACAAGGTTTGTGTTTGATTATATAGCCATCCATAATAAGGTTAGGTAATGTTTTTGTTTGTGGTGTATATCATTAGAATCTCTAGAGAAGACCAGTCAGTAGTTGTGTGTTTTCTTCTTCTTACCCCTGTCCTGAATGCTTCAATAATCTCATGAATCTGATCAGGCTACGATCCTACGTGGCTTGTACATAGTATTGATTCCGACCTATGAGTTTATATTTTTCGAAAATCATGGATTGGTTTCTGGGTCCATAGACATCTTAGTGAAGCTAGTGATCTGTGTTTATGGAGTAGCATAGAAATGAACAGCATGTGAAAGACGAGGACTTACCTTTGCTCTCCGTAGAGGCAAGAGGGCTGTGGGGGGTTTGAGCCTAAGAGTCTGTTTGACCTTCAGCTATGGCTGGCCTTCCCGTTCCTCGACTAGCCTGTGTTGAGTTGATCCATTAACTTGAGCTGTTTCAGTTGTGGAGGTCAATCATTCATGGCATGGGTGTTGCTTTCTGGGCAGCGATTTCATGCATGCGACTGGTTGATTTGGTCATATTCCTCAATGGGTGGTGGACTTGATTTGGGCCGTCTTTGTTGGACCCTAACCATCATCGTTTGTCCTGTGTGAAATGGGCTTCATATCTGCATTCTCTGTTAATTATCCTTACCACAAATTAAAACGTCGAGGGAGAAATATTTGTCATTTGATGAAGATAATTCGTTGGTGACCAGATTTTATTTGAGTCTGAATCGTCCGGATAATACAGCACTGCAATCCAAAGGTGTGTGTTCCAAGTTTGGCACTCCCTGATGCCTTCTACACTCCTATTTAAACAAAGTGCAATTGTATTTTTAATTCAATGTAGACAAAATCACGCTATAAAGGTTATAACTTATGTTTTCACACTTGCAAATGTAGTCAAAATCAACATTTTAAAACTTAAAATCTTACATTTTTGCGTTCTAGGTCACCAAAAACCTTCTGTGTAGAATCGCGATTTGACTGCATTGTGAGTGCTGATCAACTATTTGTTCGATTAATTGTTTTGTAAATTTATCTTGTTTTCTCAACTAGTTGTTTTTTATAAAATTATTGTATATTTTTAAGATAATTTTGTTTCAGAAGAAAGAAGTGATTGTTAATAACTCATTTATGCTCCACTAGAACCAGTGTTTTTTTTGTGTGTTGCGACTACTTCTCCATTTCAGTAAGGATTTTCTTCCCTGTGAATTCCAAATTTGATGGAAGAGGGAGAATGAGAATATTAGATTAGATTTTTGCACAATGACAATTGACAAGACACAGACTAGTAATGGGAAAATGAGAGATTACCAAAAACTAAACAGAAGAAGAGACTGAGGGAAGGAGACATCAGACATAACCTTGTGGGCACTTGTCCCATCGAAGGATGGAAGGGAGTGTATATGCCTTTGTTCCTAACTTCCAATCAGTGTTTTTTCTTTTTACAAAGGAATAGAATTTCATTTATAAACGATTGAGTTACAAGCAATGTATATTAGGTATGATGTGAAATGATATCCAGAATAGTAAATCCAATCACGAGGAGGAGTGGAATGAGCTTGAGACCTAGATGTCTAATCCATTCTGAAATTCAGGTGACGAGGAAAACTTCCAGCTTGATGAGTTTAGTCGATGACATGATACTTTGCATGGTTGCCGCAATAGCGAAACATTTTCATGGCCAAGAAGCCCGGCTAGAGTAAATGGCCTTGACAAGAGTCTCGTAGTCATAATGAACAACGCACGAGAGGTTACTATTCTTTGCAATCTTGATATCTTCTAGGAGTGCTCTGGATTCCGCTTCAATTGGAGATGAACTGAAAATAGGGCCAACCTGTCCATGACAAACATGTGTTAATGAGAACAATACCAAAAACCATCTCCTGGGAATCATGTAAAAATGATCCATCAAATGAATCTCCAATTAGGAATTTCGTGGCGGTGAGCCTGGATGATGATGATGGAGCCCTCTGGGTTGACTTCGTAGGTGTTGGGAAGAGGGAGGTGGATCGAGGCATATTGACCATTCACGATACTCCCAAATACCTGCTATGTGGGTGGTGCTGTAATCGGAAGGGATGCTTTTCCTGAACACAAGCACATTCCTTGCTTTTCAAATATTTCAGCACAAGTTGACAACTTGGAGGATACTCGAGGATGAGAGATTATCCTTCAAGCTGTAAAACCAATAAAGGAAGGAGGAAGAAGTTGATGGGAGCGGAAAAGATGGGAATAATCCGATCCAAACATTTGCGGCATGCTAACAAGAGAAGAGACGGTGGAACATAGATTCATCTGTGATGTTATAGCATGAACAATTCGAATTATGTGCGCATTTCCTGCTCCTCAAGTTATTTTTCGCAGCGTTTAACTTTCTTTCTCATCTCCGTATAAAAAGTGAAGCTTTGGTTTAAGGGATAGGCTCCACACCCATTTCCATCAATCTCTGTCAAGTTGAGACATTCGAGAAAGATGGTCAACTCTACCAAAAATCAAATTATGGAAAGCATTGTAGGCCATTTGGACCGTAAACTTCCATGAGTTAGTGAACTTCCACCCCCAGAAGTCTTTGCCATCAATTGGTCCTATTTGCACTCTAAAGATGGAGCTAACATCATCATATGGAGGTAATGAGGGATTGCATTCTGGTCCAATTCCCTAAACTTGCGTTCACCAACGAGACTAAATAGAGATTGCAATAGATTGAGTTAGATCGAGTTTCTCTAAATCCAAAAAAAATTCAGTGGGTGCATCAATTAAAAAATAAGTAATATATTCATTGTGTTTTAGAAGTGAGAACACAATCCAACCCAACGGGTACTGTCACGGGAAAATTCTAGAATGCTCTTAGGTGCATGCATGTATCTCTAGATTCATGCACTCATGCACATGCATCCCTACCTATTTATTATGATTCATGTATGGGTGAACATACATTCACCTTATTAATTACTGTTCATGTATGGGGGACTATCTAGGTTCATTCATTAATGATGGCCTACATACATTGTACTAAGTGGAGAGGATGCCTATATAAGAACCATCTCCCTCATTTTTTATTCATCCAGAAATTGAGAGTTTACATCTCTAGAGTTTTCTCTACACTTGTGAGTTTGAGTGAATGCGAGCTAGGCTGACTTAGTGCTCTAACGAGACTTGAGTGCTAAGTGCCGCACGGTCAAGACTTGGTCCGTGACAGGTGGTATGAGAGCTAGGTCGTGACTCATCAAGTGAGAAAGAACCTCGAAGAGATGGCTGAAATCCAGAAGCGAAGTTCTCAACGAAGAGCAACAACGCGGTCGTGAGCAAAAAAAGGATACAACCAAGACGAAGAGAGACAATTCAACTCGTGAGCCCTTGGTGACTCTCGAGGAGAGGCTCTTGAAGGCGGAGGCGAAGGTTGTGGACCACATCACCATGCGACCAAGTCGGCTCGAAGGTGCAGACCTTGAAGGGCGATGTGCAAGGTGTGGTTACTCGAATGACGGGTTTGGATGTGGGGTTGGAAGCTTTTCGAAATGAGTTTCTAAACATCATCATCGACGCCATCGACTCTTTGAAGGAGACGGTTCGGGCAGAGGTGACCAACATAAGTGAAGAGCTTGACGAGCTTCAAGGGGAGTTCAATCTCGTCAAGCGAGCGGTGGCTAACAGACCCTCCACGACGCAATTTACCCCACGAATGGATGTTCCAAGGTCGAAGAATTTCGGTGGGTTGAGGAATGCGAGGGAATTGGAGAATTTCCTCTAGAGTCTTGAACAATATTTCAAGGCTCCCGGCATCAACGACAACGGGGTCATGGTGCGCACCGCCTCACTTTACTTGGTTGATACGGCCATCGTGTGGTGGAGGAGACGTTAAGGAGACATCGATAGAGGCATGTGTGAGATGAACACGTGGGAGGATTTCTGTAGAGAAATCAAGAAGCAATTTTATCGGGAGAATGTGAAAATGGAGGCTCGTGCGAAGCTACGACAACTCACCCACACCGGAAGAATTCGTGAGTATGTCAAAGAATTCTCAGAATTGTTACTTGAGATCTCCGATTATCCGGACAAGGAGGCCTTGTTCGCGTTCTTGTACGGCTTGCAACCATGGGTGAGATTGGAGCTACAAACACGAGGTTTGCAAGACCTTGCCTCAACAATGGCGATCGCTGAGTCCCTTGTCGAGTATCATAGGTCGGAGGAGCAAGAGGTATTCGACAAAAACGGTGGGAGAGACCATGACAACTACTCCAGCGAGGGAAAGAGGAAACAACAACGTGGTGACTCAAAACAAAGGAGGTAAGGGGAGAATGGTTGATAAACCTATTTCTTGCTTTCTTTGTGATGGCCCACATCGTGTAAGTGATTGTCCCAAGAGGAGTAAGTTAGCCGCGATGCTCTTGGAAGATAACTCGGAAGAGGAGGAGGCTCCAAGAATGGAGGACCAAACTTCAAAATTGGGCGGCCTAAGGGTGTTAGGCGCAATGAAGGGGAAGGAAGGTCCTCCTCCTATCGAGGAGAAGGGGCAATGCTTCGTTGAAACAAAGCTCAACAAGGGAAAGACAAAGGCTTTGGTGGACACCGGAGCTAGTGACAATTTCCTCGACGTGGATGAAGCGCAGAGGCTTAGCATCCCGTACGAGATGAGAAGAGGGTGGCTGAAGACGGTGAATTCGGAAGCCACACCAACACATGGAGTCGCTCGAAATGTGCGGATCACCCTTGGAGATTGGGTGGGGGAAGCGGAGTTTTATGTGGTGTCGGTGGATGATTATCCAATCGTCATCGACATGTACTTCATGGACAAGAAGAGGGCTTTTCCAATTCCCTTCGAGAATGCGATATTCATCTTTGGAGCATAGAAAATAATCAAGGTGCCACTATTAAGAGATGCACACGGAGCTCTAAAGGCTTATTATGCAATGCATGGACCAAGATAGAGCAGGCGAGAAGCTCGAAGTCTCGACGGAAGAGAGCGCTACATCTTGGGGCCATGAGAGTACATACATTGTACTAAGTGGAGAGGAAGCCTATATAAGCAACCCTCTCCCTCATTTTTCATTCATCCAGAAATTGAGAGTTTCGATCTCTAGAGTTTTCTCTACACTTGTGAGTTTGAGTGAATGTGAGCTAGGCTGACTTAGTGCTCTAACGAGACTTGAGTGCTAAGTGCCGCACGACCAACAGTTGGTCTGTGACAGTACCCATGGGTTCACCATTCACGAATATAACCATACATTAATTCTTCGAACACTCACATTGTAATGTTATAAAACTTTTCCCTATAAATATATCTCCATAAAAACTACTAGCATTCATAAATTATCCATATTGTTAGGTTTATATTGCCATGAAAACTAATAACATTCATAAATTATTTACATTGTTCCGATCATATACAAAATGACGTTGTTTTCTTTATAGGTGCAGTCGGGTGAAAAACGAATTGAGTTTTGACAAAAATCAAACTCGACCCAACCCGCTAATTTGAAAAATGAATCAAACTCGCACCATATTCAAAACTCATCAACATGCAACACTACATTTGCTGCAACTATCCCTTTGGCCCCTTTGACTTTGATTCATCTATTTTCTGTACTAGTGTATTCTGAACCGTTTCTGAAGCCAGTACTTATATTTGGGCTAGGGTTTGGGAAGGGGCCAATGAGTAATGAATGGCATGGAGGAA